TTATAATCTAAGTACGAGCCAGGTCTTGAAGGGTTTTACTCTCAGACATATGATTGTTAATTTATAGTGTTTTCAGGTCAGAGTGATCCGTATCATATTCAGTACGTTTTTGATTTTTTTCAGACAGTGTTTTTTCGTTTGCAGAATATAAGTAGTGTTCTTGTGCTTTATAGTTATAGTTATAACTATAGCTATTATAGTTATAGTTTGTGAAAATTTTGGTTTCAACTTATAAAAATATTTATAATGAAACACTACATTTTAATAACAAAAGTATATATAAACATAGGTTTACCAGACGTCCTGCTTTGACGGGGACTGTCACGGTTTGATGATATGATCCCTGCGTCCCGGCCAGTTTGTCATTTTGTCCCGGTTATTTGGTAAAATTTTAAAAGTGCCGAATATACAAGATGTAAAATTAGTGCATCCTCGGGTAAAATGGCGATTTGGCAACTAAAATATTCCCTCTGTTACACTCACTGTTACACTCTAGATCTAAGTACTTTTAATGTTGTCTAGATGTTTCCTCCCCAAAATTTATAGCATGTAGCCTATGAATTCAGATGTTTTATTTTTTCATCCAGATATTTTTTCACGGAATTTATAATAGCATGTAGCCTATGATATTTAGTTATTTTTTCCCAGATATTTTTATTTCATATTTTAGATATTCAATTTATTTCAATTAGAGTAGGCAATATGAAACTTACATTGCCATGTTATTGTTGCGCGTCCTATCTTAGTCGAGTTCAAATTGCTAGTCGGCATTTGCAGTTATTTTGTACTGTATATTAATTTAATTTAATCTCCAAAATGCAAGAAATAAACTATGAGTTTACTGATGAATTAAAAAAGGATTATCCATTTTCGAAAAAAGTTTGTGATCGTATTGACAAAGTAAAATGTGAACTGTGTTTTTCAGAATTTTCAGTAACTCATGGTGGTTTTTTCGGACATTAAACATCACTTGAAATGTACTGTACAAAACATAAGGCAATCCTAATAACAGCAGAGGGAACTTCCTGAAATATATTACAGTATTATATTTTAAAGGTCCGATTTATTTTGTGTTGTGAATATTTTCTCAAAATTGTTTCGGTTTGAGAAAAAATATTATGGTAAGCCTATATTAACATGAATTAACCTTTTGTTCGTTATGTATACAACAACCTTAAGCACGAAAGTCGTGAGCTTGAAAAGGGATTGGAAAATTACCAGTCCGAAGTACATTGTTAAATAAGCAAATTTGACACGATTTCAATACTTTCCTTTGTTATGTATACATAACCGGGAAATTAAAATTATCTCTCTCTCTCTCCCCCGCGGGGGAGAATTTCCAAAAATCTCTTCTTAGCACGGCGTTTCCTGTATACCAAGTTTCGACTTTCAGCTCCTAACTGTTTGGGTTCTTCGCTTATTATTATTATTATTATTATTATTATTATTATTAACCAATCTCGATTATATTATAAAATTATTTATTAATTATATTAATTTTATTATAATAATACTGTAATATCGAAAGCCTGATTGTTGGCCGGATGGTACCACATCATATCATTCGGCATATTTTATTTAGAATTTGCCTTATCGCATTTAAAGAACCGAAACAATATGAAGATTAATTTTAATTAGGAAAGACAGCAAAGAAACTTTTTTATCAAGGCTAAAGTATTTTTGATGCGATTTCATATCTGGAATGCAGATGGCGAAATCGTCTTTACCGTCATTGGTTTGCCATATTATCCCTGCTAGGTCTGTCTGACAAGTGAGCAGCATTCGATGGGAACGTACTGTATTAAATAATGGAAAGAGTGGAATAAATACATTTTATTGTTTTCCCACGTTATTTTTTTTAACTCTTTTCACTCTGTGGGCACTAAGAGGGCCTCTTTTTGCAAGCCCATTATTGGTTCGGCCAGGCCCACAATGGGGCTGCCGGGTAGTGAGGGACGGGGCCCGACATATCCGAACAGACCACCCCCAAAAAAATTCCTGGGAATTTTTCGACCCGTTCGGATTCGAACCCGGGTCCCCCAAAGCGGTGGGCTGCCGCCTTGACCGCTCGGCCATCCGGCCGTCTTTCCCACGTTATGGAACATATGAACAAGGGGACTCCAACCGATCTGACTGGGACAAAAAGGTCAGACCATTAACTAATCGGCAGCGGCGGCCTTATCCATTGCGAGGCTCTGGGCGGCAGTCTTTTCGAGGCCCTTGTCGTTTGTGCAAAGTATGTGAATTGAAATAGTAGGCACTTATTAATATTAATATATATTGTATTATAAATTAAATTTTATTTTATTGTTATAACTAATAGCCAAGGATAAAATAAAAAGTTTTAAATATCAACTTTTTTCTACTTGGTTGTAGCGCGAGGCCCCTCCAAGAGCGAGGCCNTGCGTTTTCTGCTCATCCGGGAATTCCAAACACTGGCGCTAGTGTATTGGACCCTACAAATGTGTGAAAACTATGGACTACTAGTGTCATCTATCTGTGAAATAACGAAGCTCCATAAGTAATTTAGCAGCAAGTTATAGAGACTGTCCCTTTCATCCCCACCGTAGCCTATATGTTTATTTATTATAACAATAAAAAACTCGTATAATCAATTTAAAGAGATTTTATTTTTCAAGTGTATACTTAATTTTCTTTGGGCTTCTTTCGAGAATAATTTATTTAATAAGCTTCAAACGTTTTCGCGGCACACCGGTTGAAAATAACTGCTCGAGACCAAGGTTTAGACTTTGTTTCCAAAATCCACCCAATAATCGCTAACGTGATATATAGCTCTATAACTGATTAAAGAAACAATGTGTGACTCCAAGATCACGCGCATTCTTTTTTTTCTGTTTTTATTTTAAAAAAGTTTTTAACATACCGTATGTACACAGTATTTAATCACTTTTTTTTTGGAAATCAGTATTTAATAAGATGAAAGTTTTTTCTAAAAAGCCATATAATATAAAACATGACTATACAATTTCTTGGCGTTGTCTAACATCTTATTTAAAACAAAAGTTTTCTTAAATTTTGGAATGTTGCTCTACCTATTAAAACTGATACAAAATCTTGTGCAAATAACTTTCTTTTGATTGAAAATACTTTTTAAAATAGAAAACAGATGTAACAAAAACTGAATCATTTGAGGAAATAGTCTACTTTTTGTTCACTAGGAGTCAGGTTCGGAATGTAGGGTGGATGGTCAAGCTCCTCGAACCCACAGTCCCACACTCATTCAAATCAGCCGGCAATGGCAGCCGTGTGCACCATTGTTCTTCAAGAAGCGAACACGATGCAAATTAATGCAACAAGTCTAACTAAAATAAATGTTTCCAAACAAATTGACAGGAAAAACTTTTTTGTTAGTGTAGATACAGATGTCGTTATCTGATAGTATTATTACTTTATCCCTAAAATGTCTAAAATATAGTTAATTAAAACGGAAACTTTTGGTTCCTACTTCGTATATATTAAATATATACTGTATATAATATTAATCAATTTCATTTGTAGAGCATACTAAAATATCTATTTCAGATAAATTCTTCAGAATATCTAAAGATAACCTGAAAAAAATTGTTATTAATATATTCTGCAGTTTTTTTGCACATTATTTTGGTGGCGTATGGAGTATTACTATAACATTGATGTTACCCTATTAAAAATACAGTATTTGAAATTATTTGCTAATGGTAAATACTTTTAAATGATATAAGTTGATGTCAATTATCTGAAAATGATATTAAATGAAAGGAAATGACTAATCATCTGCCATCATTTACTTTTTTAAAAGAGAACCATTAACTAGTGAAAATGATTTGAATTGTCATCTGATGGTTTTAAAATAATTTCAAATTTTTACTCTGAACATATATCAGTTGACATTAAAGTAGGATCATTTTACTGATATACGTAAAACTTGACATAAATTGGTATTACTTGATATCACATATTAGACGGCCGGTAACCGAGTGATTAAAGTGGTAGCCTATCGGCTCTGAAAAATCTGGGATCGAACCCAGATAATTCGAAATCCCCATGATTTTTCTGGAGATGTGATCCGTCTGAATATGTCGGGCCCCGTCTCTCATCACCCGACTGCCTCGTGGGCTTGGCTGGATCAATAATGGATTTGCTAAAAAGAGGACTTTTTAGTGCTTACAGAGGAGAAAGAGTTAAAAATGTTAAAGATATCATACAGTAATTGACTGGTATCAAATGACATGTAAATAAGATTTGTTTGAAACAATTTTAATAATTCTTATAAATGTATAATACTTCTTAAAATTGTTTCAAACATATACTACATCAATTGTTATTGTAATTTCATTAATTTGGTCATTTGAAACTAACGAAAAACCACTTCAGAAATAATGTAAACTAATATTATCGATGATGATGATGAAATGATACTTTTACTAGGGTAAAGCTGAGATTATATATATACCACTAAAACTCTATAAATGTACTTTCTTTTCCTTAGAAAAAGACTAAATTACATATAAAACAACTTGTGAAATGTGCAGCCACACAGCTTTTAATTAATTTACGATGGCGAAAACCTAACAACTTGTCTCCTTTTTTAAGCCCAATTGTATTAAAAACCTCCGGTAACGTGGAAGACAAATTTCGTAAGAGAGAATATGCGTCTCAACACCGAACCCTGAAGGCCCACAATGAGATAGCCTTGGCCTGACATATGACCTGAAAAATTTCTGAGGTTTGTTGTCTCGTCCGGATTCGATTTAGAGTCCCCCAGAGCGGCCCAAGTGCTCGGCCACCCGGCCGTGTATACATGCTCGTCGAAAATAATAGAATCTAAATATACACGAAACATTTACTCGTGATTATAAATTCAAATTACGCATATATTGATTTCTTATAACCAAACACTTATCGAAGCTTCAGTTAATCTAATATTTTTCTAAAATAATTAACTAATATTCAATGTCGCTCAAAATAATGGCGATCAAAGCATTACAGCGCTCCAAGTGAGAAGTAAAGATACTAACTCGTAAACAGGAGTAAACATGCGTTGTCGAGGTCACGGGTAAAAGAAACCTTTGATCTTTGGATGAAGACGTAGGCTTTTCTCAAAATTTTGGTTACAACATTGAGGCTTTACGAAATTATACTTGTCATTAGAGACATGATGTGAATGGTAATGAAAGTTATTTTACACTTTGATCGAGAATAATCTTTAATTTTCGACTCAATTGTTAGGCTTAACTACTTCGGAGGAGCAAGGTAAGGAAAAAGATTTCGCAATGGCCACTCTTCTACAATATTTTCATATTTGTTAAATTTATCAAATTTATTGAATTAAAACTTTATTCCTATATCATTAACTCAAGTAATTAAAAATATTTATTTTNTTATACATTTATATATATATATATTTCGTTCGTTATTTTGTTTTTTGTATTTAAAAATTTTTGTTCTATTTTCTTTGTATTCGAAAAAGCTTAGCCTGATGATGGCCAATAGAGTTGGCTGAAAACGTTAGCTTTTCATTAAAAGTTTTCTCAGCAAATTAAGGTGTTGTGTTTTTTGGAGTTTACAAGCAAGTGCTGAGTGAGTGTAATACTGTTGATTTTCATAGGGTATTTTGTATACTCCAGCCTGTTCTTTCTTTAGTTTGTATTTGTAAGTTGTAAATATTAAAAGCTCTTTTGTAAACTATCCTAGAGTTTTTGTAGGTTGCCAACTCATTTATAATGCCTCCCAAAAGCCCCAATGCCAGATTGTGTACTGTGTTTTCTAATAGTTGGCTTTTGAAAGGTTATACTTTAACTATTAAGAACTCTGCCAATCTAATTGATATCTTACAGCAGGTAGAATTAACAGATAGAGTTCATATTACAGTGTTTGATTTTGTTTCATTATACCTTTTGGTATAATGAAACAAAATCAAACATTAAAGCTTCAATTTCCATGCTTCTGTGCTCTTAGGGATCTTTTACTAAAGAAAATTGATGTACTGGCTACCAAAAAACAGGTCTTAAAAATTGCACACACAATGTGTTACATTTTTGTATTTTAATTTAATAACATCATATATTTGCAAAAATGGGGAGTACCTATGGGCAGCCCCCTTTCAAGAGACCTATGTGAGTTACTTGTGCATCTGTTAGCTGTGTTAGAGGAAAAAGTCATATCTGAGTTCATACTGAACATTGTTATATACAAAAGGTATGTTGACGATGTATTCATTCTTTGGAGAATTGGGTGTCTATTCATTCTTGAACTGGATGCCTTTTTACAATGAATGAATGATAACCCGTATGAACTAACCCTTAAAATAGATCAGATAAGTAATACCAGTGCATACTTCTTAGACATTAACATTTGTTTCAGCAGGGGCCACGTGAAATTAGCATCTATTATAAACTGGCTAGATATCATTATTTAATAAAAAAGATTTAAACAGCTACACATGCCAAACATTAATATAAAATGAAACAAGTTTATCACTGTATGTCAGCATTAGTGTTGCCACCAGGCTGGTTTTTACCTGGACAAGTCGATTCTTAAATTCATGGTCTGGATTAATTAATTTGTCCGGTTTTTGTAGAAATTGTGAAATCATGATGAAACAAAATAAATTTATAAAAATATTTGCGAGTATTTTATTTTAAAATATTCTCCAATATTTTTAAAGACTAACTTCACACCCCCACCCAAACTTATCCCCATCTTATCCCTAGGCTAAGAATGAAAGAAAATGTACTTTTAAAATTCTAACTCGCAAATATCTCTGGCAAATATTAGGTTTCAAATACAAGTATCTAACTTGTTTAAAACTGGCATGCACATTGTTCAGGTCTTGGCTGTAAAATGACATTGCACATGCCTTGTATATTTATATTATATATTGTATCAGATACAATGTATCTTTTATAACTTAATAATATTGATTGTTGGTATGTATTATTATTTATTATTCTTACTTTTATTATTTTTGCAATTAATATCAACATTGGACTGTTATTAATTATTTTTGGATATTTTGGCCACATGTGATTATTGTATTACTTTAATAATATAACAGGAAGGTTGTGGCCAAAGTTTTCATCTCTAAAATGTGAATGTTGATGTTGGACATTAAGCATTGCTATCTTGTAAGCAACATTCAATGTTCACATTTTAGAGATGAAAACTTTGGCTGCAACCTCACTATTATGTACTGTACATGTTTACCTCTAATAAAAAAATATTTATTTTCTACTCACAATAAAAAAAAAACCTAATTGATTTATTTCTAAATATAACATCCTAATTTTAAAATGTCTGGGTCAGCAATTTTGAAAAGGTGGCAACACTGGTCAGCATTATGAAAAAATTATTTACTTGCAAGTACAGTAGAACCTCGATTATCCGGACCTCTATTATCCGGATTTTCGATTATCCAGATTGTTCAAAATAAACAAAAATTTTACGAATTTGCTGATTTGCACTTGGCGAATCATGACACTGATGTACTTATGTACTTATTGTACGTGATGGAATGCATAACTTTTTTTTGTTTCAACAACGTCTTACCCAGCACAGTGGTCCTAAACTCTAAAAATATAACTTGACATACGTATTTATACTTTGTATTCAAATTACATCATTTCTATAACTAAGGGCGACGTAAGGCATGGATGACATAGGCCACCGCCTGTGCCTCACGGTCCGAAGGGCCTCGCGCCTTGAAAATTTATGCATTACTTAAAAGCCACGAACGCAACGAAAAAATTTTACTCGTCATAAAACGATAAATAGTTTGTCTAATTTTTATTCATAAAAATGCAATTTCAACTGCTTTTTATTTTATAAAATCCATCTTCTTGCACCACTAGAGGGCCTTTTAAACACTAGGTAGTCTGTTAGCGCTGGTCAGTAGTAGTCCAAATTCAATAGAAACATTTGTTTCTTGAAAATCTGATCACGATTTAAATACAGTATTTATTTTTAATATTACCGATATGTCATTGAAAAGAAAACGTGTTGTATTATCATTAAAAGACAAATTAAAATATTTGTTTTGATTAACGAATTTTTCCTTATCAGGACTACCTTCATCCCCAGTTAGTCCGGATAATCGAGGTTCTACTGTACTTTCAACAGTCTAAAACTGTACTCTTCAGGCAGAATCATTATTAGAGCTTTCAGAGAACAAGACATTTGAATTCAAGAAAAAGAATTCAAATATCAATGAACATTTTTCTTTTTTTTTACTGGAGTTCTGGACAGCACTGTTTAGTCTTCTAAGATTCTAAATCTCATGGTTCCTGATAAAACATCTCCTAGTGATAGTAGTGCCACTGTATGTTTGTGTTTATTTATTGACTATTTAATTTATTATTATTTATATACTTTATTTTAATCCATTTATTATTGATGTTTTATTTTACATTTCATTGTATTTTGTATTAATGTATAATTTTTATAAACTGTACACGTGTAATTTAAATTTCCATGTGCATGCAGGACAAACAATTTTGAAAAAAATGCTAGTTGATATCAGGATTATTTTTCTTAAATGTCTTGTTCTCTGGAAGCTCTAATAACAATTCTGCCTGAAGAGTACAGTTTTAGACTGTTGAAAGTACTTGCAAAATAAATAATTTTCTTTTTGTAGCAGACTATAATATATGTGTTTCATTTTATATCATTATTTATTCCAGCAAACTCAGCTGACCCTTTTTGAAATAAAGTTGCTGTCTCCTGTGCACTTACTATGCAGCCTTTAATTAAACACCATAGAAACTGGGAAGACACTATGAAGGAGTTAAAACATCTGGAGGTTATAGTTATAAAAGAGATCTGATCTATAATTTAGCTCTCATTCACTTCAACCTGACACTCTCTAATCAATAACTCCAACAATCAAGGAGATTCTAATAGCGGTCAAGCATATAACCCTAACCCTAGACACACAGTGATATGTAAATTATAATCATATTCTATCTTATACAAAGAAATTGCTGAAATTGTGGGTACCAGATTAGCCTACAACCAAGTCCCCACTGTTTATAAATTACTGTGCAATGGAAAGGACAATGCCAACAAATGTAGGGCTCGGGTTTATACAGTGTTCCTGTGAGGAACATGTTCAATAGAGATATGATGTACATTGGGTCCACCAAGTGTTCTGTACATGAAAGAATACAAGAACATCATTATGATATTTTAAATAAAAAACACCACTGCCCTGTCAATTTATGCTACTGAGACCAGCATGCAAACCGACCTCCAGAATGCCACATTAATCAAAAAATCCTTTCAAACTGACCACATCAGAACTCTAGAAGCCTAGATATAAACAAGGCAGTCCTGTCTGTCAATTAATATAACTTAGTGTCTTGTATGCATGGCAATACTTTTATGAAAAAACTGGTAATACCAACATAAATTGATTAGTATTATTTTGTAATATATTATTATAAATTTTTTTTAATTCTTAAAAATACCTCCAATTATGTATATTTATATGTTTGATTTACATTATGTTTTTGTTCTATTTATTTAAAAATTTTTGAAAAATTCTTCACATACCAATTTGGAATATCTTTGTTGATTTGATGCAGACCTTCTTTAAGATTGAAAATGTTTGTCAAAGTTTTTACATCAAAATTTTTGTTACTGGATGTTAAAGGTTTTGTTGAATGTGTTCATTATCCCTACATTGTAAATGTTACTGTTGCATGTATCATTTAATCAACTGCTATATGAATTTCCTGTGGTAATATGTTGCATAACCAACTCTTCAAACCACCCCAAGTTACCTTTGCACGTCTAAAACATCCTTATGATGAAAGAATGTCTTTTATCTAGACCCCAAAAAGCTGAAAGTTTAAATGTATATGGAACCATTCTCCAGGGTAATGTTCAAATTGTCCATTCTTTAGGATGGAGCTTTTTAAACTTTCCCATTTGTGATCCCTTTTTGCCTGAGAATATTTTATGAGATCCTGGATTATACTCATACATATGTAGATACATAAAGTAAATATACATTAATTGATAATACAAGGGGCATAACATATTTATGTACACTTTCATTTTTTTTGACATGAACAAATCACTTACAACTTGATAAGTAGGTCCACCTTCTCAATATAGTCTCCCTTCTGTTGTATGCACTTGTACAATTGCTGTGTCAGCCTCTCCAGGTCCTCCTCAAACCACTTTTTGGGAGTGTGTCACATCCAAACTTGGCCAGTTGCATTGAGTTCTTCAAAGTCTGTGAAATAACATCC